TGCGGTAAGGCCGTTTGAAAAACGAAGCTAACACGTCAAGAACCTCCCACTAAAAGACTATGCGCGACCGGCCTCAAGCAGTTATACCTTAGGCTATGCGGTCACGCTCCCGGGTCTTTAGGACCAACACTAATCCGATTTCCTTTTCAGGTTCCTCAAGAAATATCATTCCACGGTGTGGGCAGTCGGGAGGTGACATCAGCCCTCATACCCGTAACAGCACACAAGACCAAGTTGGTCACATTCAAATCCTTCCTACACCTCCACGACCAACCCCTCTCACGTCCCTTTATCACCTCGCACCGCTATTGCAAACGATTCGAGTATGCGGAACGTTATACCTGGTCTCGATATTACAGTCGTCTTCGACTAGTTGAACAGGAGTGCTGCTTCCCCTGGCCTTGCTGGTGTAGTTATAACATTAATTCCTTAGACTCAATCCCAGTAGACAGTCGTTTGTGCGTTGTCCGACTAAACGGAACAGTAAGAACTCGGAAAGATAGGGACACTCGTCATTGCCTCTTCTTCGTCTCTGCCCACTCTCCCATTAAGTGCAGCTCAGATGAGGTAAAAGATGTGTTTTACAGAAAACTTCTCGACCTTCTCCGAAAATCTAGGCGCTCTGATGTAGTAATAGTGGCTGGTGACTTTAATGCTTAAGTAGGTAAACTAAGCGAAAGGAAAAGACACCTGGGTGTATCTTATAGTGTCTTGGCTCAAAGAACAGACAATGACGACCGTCTGTTGCAGTTATGTTCAGATTACTGCCTCTTTCTTGCAAACAGTAACTTTAAGCATAAGTAAAAACAACTTTTGACATGGCGTATCACAAGATGGTGCACACACACGATCAGACATTTGCAGCCTACGCAGATAATCTAATTCACAGATTCTCCCGGAGCTATAGAAGTGTCGTGAAATAAGCAGGGAGATAATATGCGTATCACAAGATGGTGCAAGGAAACCCCATTAGGATCCTGCTGAATGATAGTCAAGCTAAGAGTATATTTGAGGAACAACTAGGAAAGCAGTTAGGCAGCCATTTATATGATGCCCACCTCGAGGCAGCGTGGAATAACATCCGAAAAGCTGTAGAAACAGCAGTGATGTCTTCAAATACGGTAAACCACAAGGTTAGAGAGAAACACTGGATCTCAGCAGCATCTACCGCACTGATATATGCTCGAAAACTCATTCCATCTGGCTCTGAACAGAACGAAGAACAGAGTCAGCTTAAGCGCAAGCTGACAAAAAGCCTACGCAATGATCGTGAACAGTGGTGGGTAGCGAAAGCAAGAGAGATGGAAAAGGCAGCGGCAGTAGGTAACAGCAGACAACTCTTCACACTTGTTAAGGAAACCAGTGTTAGGAACCCAACTGTTAGCAAAACTATCTCAGAAAAAGATAAATATATTATTCATTCTCAATCCAGGAGATTGGATCGATGGGCAGAACACTTTAGGGATCGGTTAAACTGACCTTCAGCCACACTTCGGTTTCCCACGATCTCCAGTCGACCTGAATGGTAAGGTAATGTAAGTCCTCCGACTCTTTACGAAGTTGAAAAAGCTATAGGAAATCTGGAGCGTGGGAGAGCAGCAGGCTCTAACAGGTTTACCCCTGGGATTTTTAAGGATGGTTGTCCAGTATTAGCAGCGAGATTGACTGAGGTCTTAGGTAGAATCTGGGAACTGGACGTAATCCCATCTGACTGGTCTCAATCACTGATTATGCCAATCTATAAGAAAGGACAAAAATCACAGAGGAACTAGTTTGACTAATATAGTGTCTAAAATATTAGCTTCAATAATTCTTCGACGCCTAACTAAAGCTCGTGAAGAGCAGACTAGAGAAAACAAGGCTGGTTTTCGACCTGGACGTGGTTGTATAGACCAGATATTCACACTAAGTTAGGTCCTAGAACATAGACACACATTCGAACGCCCCACAATCGTAGTATTTCTCGACCTTAAGGCGGCATTTGACTCTGTTGATCGTGAGGTTCTGTGGTAGTGTTTGTCACTGAAAGGAGTACCAAAGAAGTACATCAACCTTATAAAGGCTCTCTACTCGAACACAACTGGTCGAGTGAGAGCTTATGGCGAACTGTCATCAGAATTGATTATCTCGAGTGGTATTCGTCAGGGCTGTCCACCCTCTCCATTCCTATTTAACTTTGTCGTTGACGTGCTTTTAGACATGACACTTTCCTCATTTAAATTTTCAGGGATTGAACTTCTACCGGGAGATTCACTTGTTGACTTAGAATATGCCGATGACATAGTTCTATTTGATGAAGACGATGACAAAATTCAGAGTCTGCTGACCACTCTAAGCAACAATACAGGCATGTTCGGCATGCGATTCTCTCCCTTGAAATGCAAAATGTTGCTTCAAGATTGGGTTGCATCGACATTCGAACTAATCATAGGGAGTGAAGTAGTTGAGCGTGTCGACCACTTCACTTATCTGGGAAGTCTCATCAGCCTTTGTGGTCTGGTGTGTGACGAAATCTCAGCACGGATACAGAAAGCTCGACTAGCTTTTTCCAACTTGCGTCGTTTGTGGCGTAGGCGAGATATCCGTCTTTTATTTATTTTAACACATAAGTATAGGTACAGGGAGGCACCAAATACATATGCGCCACACGAATCTCATTTGATTTGTGTGAGGGCTGTGATACTGCCCGGGTGCCCGAACCGAAGCAGGTAGATATCCGTCTAGTAACCAAAGGACGAGTTTACTGCGCAGCAGTTCGTTCCGTCCTACTTTATAGTAGTGAAACATGGCCGGTAAGAGTAGAGGATATTCGTAGGTTACTAGTATTTGATCATAGATGTCTTCGAAACATTGCTCGTATATCCTGGGACCACCGATTAAGTAATGCAGTTGTTAGGAAACGGGTACTAGGTAAGGATGGCAAATCACTTGATGAAGTAGTGAAACTTCATCAGTTGAGATGGCTGGGACATGTGTTGCGCATGCCAGACCACCGACTGCCTCGACGTTCGATGTTTTATGGTGTAGGAGTAGGTTGAAAGAAAGCTAGGGGCGGCCAGACCAAAACATGGCACAGATCAATGAAGTCACTGACAAGTTGACTGAGCCATGTCGGTAGATGTAGACTGCCTGGTTGGGTTCGGCGAGATGATAGCAACCGATGGTTAGAGACCTTGAATGACATGGCTCAAAATCGTTTGCAATGGCTCAGGTGTATCCACTCTTTGTGTTCTCCGAAATTCTAATCTTCTGAATTCTTCATGTCGTTTATTTTCTTTCCAAATTTATTCCAATGGATTATACTCCTTGAATAACATCATCAAACCCTAATGTTCCCGATTCCTACTTGTACTTTCACTACCACTACGGGATGTGAATCGATAAGTGCATCTCTGTGCTAATGTGGTATGGCAACTCGAACTGATGTACGTGCGTACGAAGTTCCACGTTGTGACTGACTGACTGATATGGTATTTCCAACCGTACGTAGTAAGTATTCGAAAAGTCAATTTAGAACATGTTCTTAGTATCTACAAAGAAAAAATATTGAATACTGCAGGACATCTATCCATGTTCATTCATGACACCTTGCACGTTTATACTGACTGACCGCGTTTTTCTAATTTTCTGTTACTAGGTATCTCATGATCATGCCTCCAAGTCATTGCTTTTTGATTTTGCCCATCTAACTTTTGTACTGAATTTTATGTATCTTTGAGTGCTATGCGTTCTTCTACAGACATCGATGTGCTACGACTAAATGGATCTTTGAATTCAGTCGCGGACAGTTGTTCAGAATTGATCTCTGATTCCTCCTTAGATGAAAGGTAATTAGGTAAACGGCTGCTTTCACGAAGTTCCCCTTAATGGCCGTACAGCGTCCAACCTACTAGAGTTCTCACAGCAGGCGGTTTATTCGCTTGTCCATTTCTTATCTCTTTCATCTCATGTATGCCTGGTCCGTTTCACCCAATTGACAGTTTGACATCGTCGCTTTCTACACTCGGAAAACATTTGTCCTTTAAATGGGACCAGAATGCCATTTAATGTGCCGTCGGCACAGTCCTGTACACCGCCAGTAGTTTTTCGACCGTCAAGACTTTCTGAATCTTTACGCATCACTAAACGTTTGTCGAGAGGAACTCGATCTCGATGTATTTGGATACCGACAACGATTCATTACTAAGAGTTTTTAAAGACACCAGTTTAGGTTTTCCCTCGAGGCTTAACTCATCCGTCAGATCATCTAGAATTAGGAAGGTATCTGATCCACTATTTAGAAAAGAACAAGTCTGAATAATGCTCTCACCACTTGTTATCAGTACAGGCACAATCGCAAATGCTAATAGTCTCTGTACACGCCTAACACTTTCCTTCGTACATAGCTGTGTATTAATAAAGGCATTAATATTACTTTCGCTCTGTTCTTCCTGCTTCCCGTTTAACAGGGTATGATGGATCCGGACACATACTTTGACGACACATGACCTCTGTGATCGACAGATTTTTGCTACATAGTTTGTCTCCAGACAAGCATTACATAACTTGTGCCTAAGAACGAATTCTTTCCTTTCTCTAACATTCTTGTCTTTAAACTTATAGCACTGATCTAAAGAATAGTTGCTTGAGAACTCCAAACAGGATGAACTACGTGAGGTAACATTGCCATCACTAGAACTTGTACAAGATATCCTTACTGGATTGTAATCTCCAATAATTTCCCCTTTTAAACACCAACATCCCTACTGACACTATTGTTACCGCGGTTGACAGGTAGAACATACATAGTATTAGTTGTATCAACTTGTTCCTTTACAAACCTACTAAGATCAACAGACAGAGGTGTTTGATTTTCTCAGGAAATCTTATAAGCTAATTTGACCACTTTTGTTGAATGTGCGTTGGTAATTTGAGAACCATAGTTTCAAAGGTTCTGAAAGAAACAGAGGCAAAACTGAAACTGGATATCAAGAGAGCAGGAACAACCATGAAAATCATTGTTAAACCAGACCAGTAGTAATCTTCCTACATCAATAAATAAAAAACAAAAATTAGATCGAACGTTTATAGAAACTATCTTGTAAATAAATTTTTGAACAAAAGGTTATTTTATATGAATAACTCAAATACTGACAAAAGGCGCTTCATTATTTAGAAGTTAAAGAAACACTACCAAACGCTATAAATATGAGTATTACATCCGGTAAACTAGTAGGAAATCTATGTTCATAAAAAATCCATATCGAGACTTTCTCTGATAAGTTTAAAAATACTATTGAATTCGCGTTCACTCATCGAAATAGAATCAATAAAATTGACAACTGACGTCTGTGAAAGCCCTGTCCACAAACCAACCTGTAAGTCAAGTTTGTTTGTAACTGAAACATCAGATATCTCGTAAATCCAAGAAAAAAGAACAACTTATGTCTCCAAAGAAATGTTGATACGTATTAAAGTTTCAAAAGGACCCCTTGTTGGCATGAATCACTATAATTAGCACACATAATTCCCTTTCGATTGAAAAACCACACTGAACTCAAAGTCCCCTAGTGGAAATCTTTCAACTCTAATAAGGCTCAGAGATCAACCTGGTCGTATAAGTGTAGAATTACGGTCTACTATGATATTAGCACTGCTCTAATAATGGACATAATCCTTAAATTCTATATTTGTCATGATTCAACTGCCTAATCTATAAGATCTTACATGGAAGTCACATTATTATCTACACCACCTCATCGCATCGTAACAATTACCAATACACGATGGAGAACAAGCTTAGGCTAGAGACAGAACAATATATTTAATATGAATAAAAGATATAAGATAACATTCAGCAGGAACCACGCCTGCAAGGCCGAGCCACGCCATCCGATCAACTCGGAATAATTCAACTCATTCTCCCCGCCTTCTATACTCTTCTGTATTTCTCCGCGTTAAATGTTTAATGTCTGTTTCTCATATTGTCCCGTGGTAGGGCCCAATCCTACTACACAAGAATGTCTTAAATAAGAAGCAACACTTCAAATGACCTGGAAACGTGGGTACTGAAAATAAGGCTTACCTACGTCAGGTTTATATGGGTTGTCAAAAAAAGACCTTCCCATGGTTAGAGTTGTTATTCAGTAGAAAAAGTAAGTGGTTGACTAATTAAAGTTGTAACGAACGATCACCGTTATCCGTTTGCAAGGTCATAATATGCAAAGTTTTCAAGCGTCTTCATGTTTCTATCAATCTGGTTATGTGAGGATTGAGGTTCATCACCCAGATGACTTACAACCTAAGAGCATTCGGATTTATAGGAAACACCAAGATGTTTTTGGCCAAATGTATCTTTCACTGATTCCAAACTATATCCACAGAGCCTTCAAACAGGTTACGCTCTGTACTCTAATTTTCCAAGTTCCTACAACATTTTTAATCACATAGTCAATTTCTGATTGCCTACCATGGTCGAGTAATAGAACTTGATTACTTTGCGTAACATTTATGAATGCAAATAAATCAAGATAAAATTCTATGCAATATCTATTCTCTGGTTATTGATATTTTTAAGGCAAACTCGCTAGTTTGAACCTAGCAATCAATTAGTACTGATAAGTCAGCACGTGGAGATGTAGTCATCAGTAACCGGTTCAACAGGCAAAACAAATCTGGATAATAATCTAAAATGACTCACAAACTGTTTAGCCTACGGGATTATTTTTTCTTTTAACCTACATATCCCTGTTACCCCTCAGGAAGAAGAATAGGCCTCTCACCAGCACTCTCCATACAACCCTGTCCTGGGCAATCCTTTCCAGTTCTTTCCAGTTGCTGCTCATCCTTTTCATGTCTACTTCCGATTACCGACGTAGTGTGTTCTTCGGCCTTTCACTTCTCCGTTTCCCTTCAGGATTCCAAGATAGGGCTTGCCTTGTGATGCAGTTTGGTGATTTCCACAATGTATATCCTGTCAACTTTCAACGCCTTCAGCTGGAAGCTGGTTTGTTCTCTCCCACAGAAGACTGTTGTTGATGGTATCCGACCAACGGACATTCAGTATCTTACATAGGCAATTGTTTATAAATACTTCTACCTTTTTGATGATGGTTGTGGTTGTTCTCTAAGTTTCAGCTCCGTACAGTAGGACTGTCTTGACGTTCGTATTAAAGATTGACTTTGATATTGGTTGACAATTGTTTTGAGTTCCATATGTACTTCAGTTGTAGGAATGAGGCCCTTGCTTTTTCAATCCTCGCCTTTACTTCTGAATCAGATCCTCCTTGTCCGTGAAAAACTCCACATCTTCCAGAGCTTCTCCATCAAGTGTGATTGGGTTGGTGTTCTCCGTATTGTATTTGAGGATCTTGCTTTTTCCTTTGTGTATGTTGAGGCCTACTGATGCAGAGACTGTTGCTACACTAGTTGACCTTATCTGCATTTGTTTGTGTGTATAGGATAGAAGGGCCAGGTTATCTGCGAAGTCCAAATCTTCTAATTAGTTCTGAGCTGTCCCATTGTATTCCGTGCTTCCCCTCGGATGTGGAGGTTTTCATAATCCAATCGACTATCAAAAGGAAGAGAAACAGAGAAAGTAATCAGCCTTGTCTGACGTCGGTCCCCACTTGGAATGCATCTGTTAGCTGTCCTCCATGCAGCACGTCGCACTTTAGTCCGTCGTATAAATTCCGTATGATCTTGACGATTTTCTCAGGTACACCAGTGTTGAAGTTTCCATAAGGTTCTCCTGTCCACAGTGTCAAACGCCTTCTCATAGCCAATGAAGTTGATGTATAATGAAGAGTTCCACTCAACTCATTTTTCGACGATGACTCGTAGTGTGGCAATATGGTCTGTGCACAACCGATCCTTACGGAATCTAGCCTGTTGATCACGACGTTGGGCGTCTATTGAGTCTTTTATCCGTTTCAGTAACACTCTGTTAAAGGCTTTCCCTGGTACTGACAGTATTGTGGTGCCTGTTATTCTCACATTTACTCAGATCTCCTTTCTTTGGAATCTTGATGAGAAGTCCTTGTTTCCAGTCCATCGGCACTTGTTCTTCCTCCCAAATCTTCTTGAATAGAACGTGGGACGTGTTTGCAGTTACTCTAATATCTGACTTCAGCTAGTGTACTGTCAGTTCCTGTTGTTTTCCCGCTCTGGATTCGTCTGATGGCTGTCCTGATTTCTTCGGTTGTTGGTGGAGTGACATCTATATGAAGGTCTGTGTGTGCTGCTTCGATGTCCGGTGGGTTCAATGAAGTTGGTCTATTCAACATTTCATCAAAGTAATCCATTTGAAGATGCCACAGGTATTAGGAGTTTGACAGTTCTTTAACCAGTAACAACTTCTAATATGAAGCATACACACCAAGTGAAATCAAAAGACAGAAGCGAGGAGGTTCGAAGATGTATTTGATAAGCTATCAGTATATCGAGGATCGTCTGAACTAATTTGGCAAGCGATTGCGCTAGATGTTGAGCACGGCGTTCTCACACGTGATCTGGTGCGGATGCATGACCGAGCACCTTCAGCTAGACCAGTCCATTAAAGCTAATGTGGTCAGCATCCGATTTCGAAAACTTACAGAACTATTTATTCAGGGGATTTCTTTTCCGCTACAGATCACTCAACTTTAGTTGGGTAGTGATGACCTTAAGACGTGGCCAGCCAGAAGTTTAAACCCAACGAGTTTTTCGTTGGTAAACACTTCTGATAGCTTGATAGGTTTGGCAGCGTCTGGTCGTCTTTCCTTACTATAAGGGACCATGAAGTACAATATAGTAAAAAAAGAAAAAGTACAATGAAGATTTCCGTTTCTCGCAAACTTCATCGTTCTTTTTTCGTCTTTTCCAGCCGTCCTGGAAAAGAAAAAAATATGTAAGTGCATGTCGAAATACACTCGTACGCGCGTAAAAACACAAAGCGGGCGAAAAAACGGAAAATAAACTGTTCAAGGAATTTATACGAGACAAAGCGTCTGCAACTACATTGTTTGCTCCAGAATTGTGTCGAATATCTGAAGTAAACTGCGAAATGTAGTCCAGTTGTCGAGACTCACGTGGTGAGTACTTGTCGGAAGAAGAGCTTAAGGAGAAAGTAAGTAGTTTATGGTCGGTAAAAATGGTAAATTCACGGCCTTCGATGTAGTGTTGAAAATGCCGGACAGCACAATACATAGCTAGGAGTTCCCTACCGAATGTGCTGTACCTCGATTCAATGTCTAGCAACCGTCTATAGAAAAATGCCAAAGGTTGCCAGGAGTGGTTAATCCATTGTTGTAAGACTGCTCCGAATGCTGAGTCGGATGCGCCTACTGCGATGCTAATGGGTGCTTCAGTGTCCTGATGAACAGGCATTGTTGCTTGAGTGATAAGTTCCTTAACTGTGGAGAATGCTTTTCGCGCGGTGTCATCCAGATTGATGGATTTCGCATTTCCACGAAGTTGGTCTGTAAGAGGTTTCATAATTCAGGCGCATTTGGGAATAAACCGTCAATAAAAACTTACCTGACCGTTAAACGTGAGCAATTGCTTGATGGTGTTCGGTTCTGTGTAATCCAGAATGGCCGCCACTTCTGTTCTAAGGGGTCGGATACCTTGCGCATCGATAGTGTGTCCTAGGAAGTCTAAGGGGTCGGTTCCGATTCGGCATTTCTGAATGTTTACAGTAATGCCATGTTTTTTAGTCGGTCGAAAACAAGATCCAGATGCTGGAGATGCGATTCTCTGTCCAGACTTGCTATTAGGCAGTCATCAACATACGCATGTACGAAGTTGAGACCTCGAAAATCATTGTCTATGGACCTTTGGAAGGTCTGTGCTGCGTTTCTTAGACCGAAAGGCATTCGCGAAAATTCATAGAGTCCGAAGGGCGTTATAATAGCGGTTTTCGGAATATCGTCAGTAGCCATAGGGATTTGGTTATACGCTTTAAGCAAGTCGATTTTCGAAAAGACAGTTGTACCTTTCAAGGTAGCTGTCAAATCGTGAATGTGGGGCAGCGGGTAACGATCGGAAATGGTTTTTGCATTCAGTCGCCGATAGTCACCAGTTGGACGCCAATCGTTGCTGTCCTTTTTAGGGACCATGTGCAACGGAGATGCCCATGGGCTGTTTGACGGTCGTATGATACCTAGGTTTATCATGTGGTCAAATTCGTTCTTACTAACCTTAACTTTTCGGGGGCCAGTCGGCGTGCTTTAGAGAATACAGGTGGTCCTGTAGTCGTGATGTGATGTGTAACGTTGCTGAAAGGTTTTGGGACAAGGTAAACGATACTCACTATTCTTGCGGTTGGTAAATGCCGGAATACTTTTCGATTATTGGTTGATAGAATGGGTCTATCGTGTGCTTAATTATGACAGGAGATAACCTGCAACCAGAAAGAGAAGTCAGACAAACAGATAAATTCGTATTTCCATCTACTAGCCTCCGTTTGCGCGTATCGATAATCAAGTTGTGGTGCTGTAGAAGGTCCATACCGATGATTGGCATAGAAACATCCGCAACAACAAAGATCCGGTGAATGGGTTTGTGTAAACCCACGTTAAGATAAACATACCTTTTGCCATACGTAGCGATAGGCTTTCCACTTGCTACCTGTAAATTTAAAACCGATTCGTGAAGCCGGTCGTTGGAATTCGCTGGGAGAACACTAACTTCTGCGCCATTATCGAAGAGGTAGAGAACTCTAGTTATCACATCTGTGACGTATGACAGACGGCTATGTTCGACGGCTACGGTTGACGCTAACGAGTACCAGATTGGAAGTTTCCTAAATCGTTTTTCGTGTCGATCGATTTCGAGTTGGAAAAATTGCAGGGTTACGAAATTTAAGATAACGCGTAAGTGTTTGACATAACTCTGTTATGTCATTCCAGGTCGTTTGAGGCTTTTCTTTGACTGAAAAAACCTCGGCAATACAAGACTTACTTATTTCGAGGCTACGGCCGGCAGATGCAGCCAGCTCGTCTACGGAGCTGTTTTGAAACAAGACCAGCACAGCTTGCAACTGTTGAGGAAGATTTAATGAGAAAAGCCGTTTGAATAAGCCATCACCGAAGGTTCTTTGGCAACATGTCCGTGGTAGAACCGTGTTGCAGGTCGATGTTGTTAAGGAGTTGGTCTCACCTTTGTCGATCGGTTACATCTCCGCGTTTAAGGATGGCATGTTTGAGGGTTTTGTATGGGTCAGAAACATCACTAGTAAACATACTAGGTGTTACGTACCTGTTGAATTCGCTCGGTAGTGCCTTGACTACTGCAAGAAATTGTGCACGTATGTCGTTCAGGTCGTAATCGTAGAAGTCGACTTCTGCGTAGCAAAACCAAGCTTTGATGTTGTCCTGAGGCATCATAATTCTTCCGTCAACTCCCAGAGAATAGTTTGAAAGGTTTTATTTGTTTAGTCTGGTTGATGTTTTTTAGCAAGATTTTATTCTACATGATGAGGCTGCCAACCCCATGCTTAACCCTCCTACTTTAGCTGGGCTTGACACCGGCAGTAACTCTAGAAGAGCCACAGGCGTAATTTTTTCTTTTTACGCTGATTTAAATAACACTTTATTTCCGGTAAGCAATATTTTCAACTAATTTCGACTAAGTGATTCCACTACTAGACAGCAGATCGTAATCCATGTATGAGCTGAAATTGCTTCAAGTTACCGTCACTAGACTATTGTTCGCCATAGTAAGGTCAGTCAGTTGCAACGTAAGACCAGGAACACATGTGCATCGGTCCAAGTTGCCATACCTCATTAGCACAACAAGATGAGTCCCCAAATGCCTTGGTACGGCCGAGAGTGGAGAGAGTTCGCTCACCCTCTCGAAATGCTCTCAAATGACCACGCGTATATAGCCTCTGCCAGGGAAGTCCTACTCACTGCCTTCTCGCGACAGGAGTGTTATGTGCGAAATTGAGAGGATGAAAGGTGAATGTCCGATACCTTAACCGGGTTGGTGGACACGGAGGGTCCACCTAGGGGGGTCGGAAAACCTTGATTCCAAACCAATGGTGTACATCGGCTCCAGGGTCCTGAGAGAAAGAATGGTGTATGAAGCAATTGTTGGTCACCGGCTAGCATGGGACTGCATACCTCCACCGTCTTGTGGATCAGACCTTCAGGTAGAAGGCTCCGGGTGTGGCCCCCTAAGAAAATCACCTGCTTCGGTTTGGGCACCCTGGCAGTATCACAGCCCTCACACAAATCAAACGAGACTTGTGTGGCGCACATGTATTTGATTCCTCCTTGTACCAATATCTCTGTGTTCAAATAATATTAATAATACAACAAGGTGAACACCGGACTCATAGAATTGGTTAATTCAGTGGTGGTAGTATATAAGAGAAAGATTGCATATAAGAACATAGTACAGGAAGAAAGAATTAGTTCGTAGAAAGAAAGATACTTTCAACAGTAAGAAGGTATAGAAAGTAGTTTAATTACTTGTCAGAAGAAAAGGTGTAGATTTAAGATGCAAACGCTTTTATAAAAGTGAATCACGTGACCGAAATGACATAATACTAACCTGAATGTAATACGTATAAACCAAATATGCATCGGATGCAATATCTGCGAGGTAACTCATTATAGAAATGAAAAATATCACAACTTGATACCACCGAAATCCATGAACTTTAAGAAACTCAACTAGCCTTATTTCATCCTCAGGCTGAACAATAGTAGACAATGGAGGAGCACTTGAATGTGGAGTAACAAAGGAACTGGATGGTTCATCGAAAGAAATTTGCTTTGAAATTGAAGCATCCGTAGCATCACAAACAGTAAGTGATTCTACTTTGCTCTTATTCCCCATGAGATTACTGCTGGAATGCAATGTAAATGACGAGTTTTAGTTGATACACTGAATTAAGAAAGTCGGTATTTAAACACGGAAGTGAAATGTCAAGGAAACGGAGATATTCTAAAAACCTGTGGTAAAATGTATACTCCTGACACATGTCAGCATCCCCTTCCTATTTTACTATTTTGATTATATCTCTAATGGTGGTTAGTGACGTTATAAGGAAATCACATGGCTGAAATAAACGTATGCTTTAAACAGTACAATTGTAGTATCAAAATGTGGCGTCAGTCCACTAAGTCATTGACACTTAATATGAACTATGTAGGTAGCTGCATACAACCTGGTTTGAGTGCGTTCCGTGAGATTATCGCAACTAATCGTTAGAGACTGGGTTAAATGGCTCGGAATTGTTCGCAATGGCATTAGTACATTCACCATTCGTTTTCGTTTAGATCCTAACTTACCTGTCTTCAAAAAACCCTTTCAATTCTATGAATCCATATTTTATCGAATCATATCTCCGATCCCCTTTTCTGCTACCAATAATACTGCTACCACTTATACTACTCTGGAATACCCTGTATTTACGTAGTATAACGAAACATGCACATCTGTGTCAGGTCCTATGTTACATGTGACTGGCTAACTGTACATTTGTAGTGATGTACAAAAGTGCTTTAACGTTCCACTTACTTTTCCGTCGACATGGTACAAAATATTTCTAGAGTATCATTCATTATTATCTCTGATTCAAGCTTGTGATGTACATTGCTTTGTGGATTAAGTTTAAAGTGCATCATTCACGACTCATATGACCAAATACAAAATTCAAGTATCCACTAAAGTGTGTTTATTTTAGGAATACCTCTATTCCCGATTGTATTAGAATATATCTTTAGTAAGATGATGAAAATAGTTTTAGATTATATTTTACTTCAACACGATAAGGGAGTTTAAACTGAAGTTTATTCTCCAAAATCTTTCGTAAAATTTGCTCTGAAAATAAAAATGGTATCCTTTAAGTATTTTTGGTATGATTTTGACTTAACGACAGTAAATACTCATGTTGTCGCCTTCTAAGACCAGAAAGTTTCTGTGCTGCAAGTGAGATTGTGACCTAGACCACCATAACAAGGTGGATTACAAATATTATGAGAAGGTAAACGTAAACGCCAAAACTTAAAATTATTCACTGGATTAACACCATTTCCCTTGATCTGCTCACTTGCTATATAGACAACGATCTACACATCAGCAGACTGTTTTACTTCCTTGGAACAAAATGAATGGTATATCATAGAGTGGATGAAATACTTGTACATCATTTACGTATTCTACAGTCAGTGAAGAGATACTTGATGCTTAGACGTTTTAGAAAGCTTACAACTGCGATGCCAATGTAAAAGATTAAGCTTTTTCGCCCGAAATACTACTGGCACAATGTCGAGAGGTTTATTTGGTTGCTTGGAATCTTGATGTAAGCCATGTAATTTGTAGTTATATTTAGATTTTGTTTATTTAGTTTACTTCTGCTTTAAGTAAATCAGTATTTTCTAAGTTTTTATAATCGAAATACCATTGAAACACTTTTTTAAAATGCAGTGAAAACATACATTGTTTGACCGTCATGTTGTACAGGAAAGTTAGCCCACATGGGAACTGCTTGCCAAGACCGTTTTGTAACCAATACCTTTGATGGTTGTACACAATGTAGGTTGGGCAATCCATTTTCACTTCTATTGAACCTAAACATAACTTGGAGATAGAAATGTGATAATCAAAATGAAGTGCTTCTGGATACTAAAAAACAGATGAAATTACACAAGAGTATACATTTATCATTAAATATATAAATTGAACAACTGGCAGGTGTCATTCGAAATATGAACAGCAGACTTATTGCTTAAAAATCTGTATGCACATATCGCTGATACTGCATAGTTTGCAGCTCGATATAACTGACTAATACTCACTAGTCGTGCGGTAAACTGAGATAAACTTTGACAGAATAAAACGCTTAAATGGATGACGTCTAGTTACTTTGCGGGCAGAGAAAATAACTTTGGCAAACAATAGACAATTTAAAGCATACTAATATGTAATACAGAACCAGACTATGTTTAGATGACCAGATAAAAAGACATGAGTTTCTAAAAATTGTTGGCGATACACTTTGTAGTCTTTTAATAACTGCTAATAAACTTCCGATCTCAGTTATTTCCATCACGTCGTGCTAATGTAGTATGACAACTTTAGCCAAGAAATATATGTGCTAGGCTCTACGCTGATGGTGCCTGTCGGTGGTAAGACCGTACGGCATACAAATCAAAATTAAAACGACTTTAAATAAGCCCGTAAAGTTAGCGTTATTTCATATTAGTCTAAAATTACTGCTTATGGTGATTGTATATATTACATATAACTAATGAATTAAAGCTATCACAAACGAAGGCTGCTTACTCTTTAACAGGGATTTTCAGTCAGTTAGTCATCCAAAACGTGAGATCCGAGAAAGTCAGTCTTCAGTAATAAAGATAGTAGGTTGGTGAACCTGTGTTAGTCTTGACAGATTGTCTTCCAGTGAAGGTCCAGTTTCTCCTTGAAAATATTCATTGATGGGGCCGATACCACTTGTTCCAGTAAGGCGTTCCAGTCATTGACTACTCGATGAGAAAAACGGGACCTCACTTTAAGTTTATTAGATCGCAGTTTGTGGACCTTCTTGCGCAAGAAGGTTATAGCGCTATAACCTCGGAGATTATTAGTGCTGGATGGAGCAAAAAGATAAGACATATTAACACCAAATCATAATTAAAGATACGAAATGCCAGTATAAGGTCACCTCGAGTCCTACGATACGACAAGGGGAAAAGGTTTAGGCGTTTTAAATGCTCATCGTAAGGGAGTTTAAAAGACCCTTCACTAATTTCGTTCCCACACGCTGGACACGCTCGAGTGAGGTAGTATCCTTTATCAGACATGGGCTAGCTGCTTGGATACAGTACTCTAAATATGGTGTTAAATAGGTGGGATATAAAATTCGAAGCATTTCCTCGTCAAAGCATTTGAGCGCTCGGTGAAGTGACCATAACGCACTAAAACCTTTGACAGCGGCTGCGTTGCAATGCGTAGTTGTTTTTAAGTCATGACTTATTATTACTCCTAAGTCTTTATGTTCTTGAACGCATGGAAGAGGTTTACCATCAATAGTATAATGGTAACTATTACCGTAACCGATGTGCATTAGCACACTCTTCCAAGTTTTTAATCGAAATACCATTGAAACACTTTTTTAAAATGCAGTGAAAACATAAATGGTTTGACCGTGCTATGAGTTTAAAGACAAGAATGTTAGAGAAAGGAAAGAATTCGTTCTTAGGCACAAGTTATGTAATGCTTGTCTGGAGACAAACTATGTAGCAAAAATCTGTCGATCACAGAGGTCATGTGTCGTCAAAGTATGTGTCCGGATCCATCATACCCTGTTAAACGGGAAGCAGGAAGAACAGAGCGAAAGTAATATTAATGCCTTTATTAATACACAGCTATGTACGAAGGAAAGTGTTAGGCGTGTACAGAGACTATTAGCATTTGCGATTGTGCCTGTACTGATAACAAGTGGTGAGAGCATTATTCAGACTTGTTCTTTTCTAAATAGTGGATCAGATACCTTCCTAATTCTAGATGATCTGACGGATGAGTTAAGCCTCGAGGGAAAACCTAAACTGGTGTCTTTAAAAACTCTTAGTAATGAATCGTTGTCGGTATCCAAATACATCGAGATCGAGTTCCTCTCGACAAACGTTTAGTGATGCGTAAAGATTCAGAAAGTCTTGACGGTCGAAAAACTACTGGCGGTGTACAGGACTGTGCCGACGGCACATTAAATGGCATTCTGGTCCCATTTAAAGGACAAATGTTTTCCGAGTGTAGAAAGCGACGATGTCAAACTGTCAATTGGGTGAAACGGACCAGGCATACATGAGATGAAAGAGATAAGAAATGGACAAGCGAATAAACCGCCTGCTGTGAGAACTCTAGTAGGTTGGACGCTGTACGGCCATTAAGGGGAACTTCGTGAAAGCAGCCGTTTACCTAATTACCTTTCATCTAAGGAGGAATCAGAGATCAATTCTGAACAACTGTCCGCGACTGAATTCAAAGATCCATTTAGTCGTAGCACATCGATGTCTGTAGAAGAACGCATAGCACTCAAAGATACATAAAATTCAGTACAAAAGTTAGATGGGCAAAATCAAAAAGCAATGACTTGGAGGCATGATCATGAGATACCTAGTAACAGAAAATTAGAAAAACGCGGTCAGTCAGTATAAACGTGCAAGGTGTCATGAATGAACATGGATAGATGTCCTGCAGTATTCAATATTTTTTCTTTGTAGATACTAAGAACATGTTCTAAATTGACTTTTCGAATACTTACTACGTACGGTTGGAAATACCATATCAGTCAGTCAGTCACAACGTGGAACTTCGTACGCACGTACATCAGTTCGAGTTGCCATACCACATTAGCACAGAGATGCACTTATCGATTCACATCCCGTAGTGGTAGTGAAAGTACAAGTAGGAATCGGGAACATTAGGGTTTGATGATGTTATTCAAGGAGTATAATCCATTGGAATAAATTTGGAAAGAAAATAAACGACATGAAGAATTCAGAAGATTAGAATTTCGGAGAACACAAAGAGTGGATACACCTGAGCCATTGCAAACGATTTTGAGCCATGTCATTCAAGGTCTCTAACCATCGGTTGCTATCATCTCGCCGAACCCAACCAGGCAGTCTACATCTACCGACATGGCTCAGTCAACTTGTCAGTGACTTCATTGATCTGTGCCATGTTTTGGTCTGGCCTCCCCTAGCTTTCTTCCAACCTACTCCTACACGATAAAACATCACACGTGGGGGGAGTCGGTGGTCGGGCATACGTAACATATGTCCCAGCCATCTCAACTGATGAAGTTTCACTACTTCATCAAGTGATTTGCCATCCTTACCTAGTACCCGTTTCCTAACAACTGCATTACTTAATCGGTGGTCCCAGGATATACGAGCAATGTTTCGAAGACATCTATGATCAAATATTAGTAACCTAGGAATATCCTCTACTCTTACTGGCCATGTTTCACTGCCATAAAGTAGGACGGAACGAACTGCTGCGCAGTAAACACGTCCTTTGGTTGATAGACAGATATCTCGCCTACGCCACAAATGACGCAAGTTGGAAAAAGCTAGTCGAGCTTTCTGTATCCGTGCTGAGATTTCGTCACACACCAGACCACAAAGGCTGATGAGACTTCCCAGATAAGTGAAGTGGTCGACACGCTCAACTACTTCACTCCCTATGATTAGTTCGAATGTCGATGCAACCCAATCTTGAAGCAACATTTTGCATTTCAAGGGAGAGAATCGCATGCCGAACATGCTTGCAGTGTTGCTTAGAGTGGTCAGCAGACTCTGAATTTTGTCATCGTCTTCATCAAATAGAACTATGTCATCGGCATATTCTAAGTCAACAAGTGAATCTCCCGGTAGAAGTTCAATCCCTGAAAATTTAAATGAGGAAAGTGTCATGTCTAAAAGCACGTCAACGACAAAGTTAAATAGGAATGGAGAGGGTGGACAGCCCTGACGAATACCACTCGAGATAATCAATTCTGATGACAGTTCGCCATAAGCTCTCACTCGACCAGTTGTGTTCGAGTAGAGAGCCTTTATAAGGTTGATGTACTTCTTTGGTACTCCTTTCAGTGACAAACACTACCACAGAACCTCACGATCAACAGAGTCAAATGCCGCCTTAAGGTCGAGAAATACTACGATTGTGGGGCGTTCGAATGTGTGTCTATGTTCTAGGACCTAACTTAGTGTGAATATCTGGTCTATACAACCACGTCCAGGTCGAAAACCAGCCTTGTTTTCTCTAGTCTGCTCTTCACGAGCTTTAGTTAGGCGTTGAAGAATTATTGAAGCTAATATTTTAGACACTATATTAGTCAAACTAGTTTCTCTGTGATTTTTGTCCTTTCTTATAGATTGGCATAATCAGTGATTGAGACCAGTCAGATGGGATTACGTCCAGTTCCCAGATTCTACCTAAGACCTCAGTCAATCTCGCTGCTAATACTGGACAACCATCCTTAAAAATCCCAGGGGTAAACCTGTTAGAGCCTGCTGCTCTCCCACGCTCCAGATTTCCTATAGCTTTTTCAACTTCGTAAAGAGTCGGAGGACTTACATTACCTTACCATTCAGGTCGACTGGAGATCGTGGGAAACCGAAGTGTGGCTGAAGGTCAGTTTAACCGATCCCTAAAGTGTTCTGCCCATCGATCCAATCTCCTGGATTGAGAATGAATAATATATTTATCTTTTTCTGAGATAGTTTTGCTAACAGTTGGGTTCCTAACACTGGTTTCCTTAACAAGTGTGAAGAGTTGTCTGCTGTTACCTACTGCCGCTGCCTTTTCCATCTCTCTTGCTTTCGCTACCCACCACTGTTCACGATCATTGCGTAGGCTTTTTGTCAGCTTGCGCTTAAGCTGACTCTGTTCTTCGTTCTGTTCAGAGCCAGATGGAATGAGTTTTCGAGCATATATCAGTGCGGTAGATGCTGCTGAGATCCAGTGTTT